CCTGTCCCTGTGCCTGTCCCAGGTGTGTCACCAAACCCCCCCAGGGGACAGCCCTGTCCCTGTCCCTGTCCCAGGTGTGTCACCAAACCCCCCCCATGGGGACAGCCCTGTCCCTGTGCCTGTCCCAGGTGTGTCACCAAACCCCCCCAGGGGACAGCCCTGTCCCTGTCCCTGTCCCAGGTGTGTCGCCCCCCTAGCCCCCCCCCGGACCCCATCCCCACACTTGTCCCAGCTGTGTGAGCCCCCCCAGTCTCCACCCAGGGACAGCCCTGTTGCCATTCCCATTCCAGGTGTGTGACCCCCCCCTCTCCCTCAGCTCCCCCCCCAGCCTTTCATCCCGGCCTTTCATCTCCAGTCGTCCTGGCAACACCCCAAAGGGTCTGGAAGTGTTGCCATGGCACCCAGGGATGCTCTGAACCCGAGCCAAGGACCCCGCAGCCCCCCCAGGGCTCTGTCCCAGCCTCAGTCCCTCACACCCCAGGGGTGCCCTGCGCCCAGGGGGTGGCAGTGCCAGGGGGTGGCAGTGCCAGGGGGTGGCAGTGCCAGGAGCAGAGGTGCCCACAGCTGTGCCATGGCCATTGGGGAGGTAAGACCCTGCCAACAGCCCCCCCACCCCAGAGCCACAGCCCCGGGTCCCTCCCTGCCGTGGGGGGTGGGTGAGTAGCCCCCTAACTCGTGGGGACCCTCCCAGCCTGTCATCTCGGCACCCTCTCGCACTGGCACGGGGGTCCCTGTGTGCCCCCCACTGTGGCTCCTGCCCCCACTTCCATCCCCATAACCCCCTGTGAGCCCCCAGTCTCTCCTGGCCCGGTGCCCCCCATTGTCAGGACGCTCCATCACCACAGTGCCCGGGTGCTGAGGGTCCCATGCCCATGGTCCCCTGTCCCCATGGTTCCCCATGCCCATGGTCCCCTGTCCCCAGGACACTCAGTTGCCGTGGCACCCCATCCCCAAGGGACCCTCCCCTGAGGTACCCCCTCTCCACAGTACCTGGCCTCTGGAGGACCCCCCCCGAGGGCCCCGATGCCCAAAGCCCCCCGTCCCCCTGTCCCCCTGTCCCTCTGTCCCCCTGTCCCCTGTCCTGGCGGTGCCCGCGGGGTGACCCCCTACCCCCCCTGTGCCCCCAGGACCTGCGCAGCGGCTGCTTCTGGCGGGGGGTGCTGGCGGAGGCCGTGGGGACCCTCATCCTCGTGGGGGTGGTCCTGGGGGCCTCGGCGGGCCCCGGCCCCCTGGCACCGGCGCTGGCCGGGGGGCTGGCGGCCGGGGGGCTGGTCTGCACCCTCGGGGGGCCGCAGGCCAACCCCGCGCTCACGCTGGCCCTGCTGTGCACCCGCAAGCTCGGGGCCCTGCGCGGGGCCCTGGCGGTCCTGGCCCAGTGCGCGGGGGCTTCGCTCGCCGCCGCCGCCGCCCGCGCGGC